GTGTAAAAGCAAAATTCTTCATTAAATTGAACATGAGAAGTTGAAGTCTGTCTGCAAGTAGATGGAACAGAATTACAAAAGGCCCCATGTGGTTAAAAGTAATACAGAATCAAAACTCCCCAGGGACAAGAAATCCTGTTTTAATCTCTTTGTGGCTCTGAAAGGGGGAAGAAAAAAGATTAAGCCTCCTTGTGGAGATCATGTGATGACTTCCTGATCCCAGCCAGAGGCAGCATTTCCATGGAAACTTCTCTTCCTCTTCACCCACACACTACTCTTTCCAACTAGAAAGGCTGCTTTCAGTCTCCAGAGTTGCATGGAGGAGCCTTGATGTTTTTTCACAAGACAACGCCAGCAGAAAGGGAAGAGAGCAGACCAGGCTGACATTCCAAGGTCACCAGGATAGTGCTGACCTTTCTAGATCCCAGCACCGGAGAGCCCGGACCCTGCTGCTTCTGCAGAGCTTTCGCTTTTCTCACTTGTTCTTTATGTTCCTGGGACTGCCCAGCTCTGGGTATGGAGCAGGATAAGGAAGGAAGGCTCAGAGAGGCAAATATGATTTGACTACTCGCATCCCCTAATTCTTCAGCTCACCTTAGTTCAAACTACTTCGTTTTTAAGCCCCTCCATGGGGAGCCTATCTGCCCTGGATGCTCTGACTCTGCCCATGAAACACAGCTCCCACCTCTACAGTTTCTCCTGCCTGAAGTAGTGTCTTCATTCTCATGTGTCTTTCTACCTTATCCCCAGCAGTTAAGGTTTTATTCAAGGCACTCTCTAAATAAAATTGAACACTATTATAAAAAAACATGCAATTCTTTCAAGGATCCTCAGTTCATAAGATGTCCCTCCATTAAAAGTCTCATGTACTTATTATCTATACTGCTCATCTGAAAACTAGTGTGAGTGGTAAAATCACGTTTTTATTCATGCATTCTAACTTATCTAGCTCACTATACACCCAGAGAAAGAATTCCTGAGAGAATTTATATGATCAATAAGTATTTGTAGGATGAATATAATAATCCTTCTTCATTCACTCACTAAACTGAAACCTTTGCAATGGTTACAACATTAAAACTAAAAAGAGTTCCCTTTGGAATGTTAACTAGTAGAAATTCCCCAAACAAGGCAGATCACTTACCTATCAAAGTGACCTATCCTTAGGAATAATTAGAAAGTGAGTGCTTAGAGAGCTAGCAAGCAGCCAAATGCATCAAGATAATCAGGGGGAGCAGCAGCAAGATTTTTTTTCTTCTGATACTTTATAGAAAATAAGTAAGCTGCAGTATAATAAGATATAAAAATAATCTTTAGGCTCTGAGAAGAGTCCTTTTTTTTTCTTTCAAAGATGACTTCTGCAAATGTTGTGGCCTATTTATGGTCTCTGAGAAACATCTACCTTACACCCATAATGCCTAAGATTTCCTGAGCTTTCTTAATAAGAGAAACTCTGTTACTGATACTACTTGTCACTTTCAAATTCAAATCATCATTAAATTCATAGTCAATTAACTGGGTTTACAGAGATCAGACATTCTTATTATTAATATTATTTATGATTATTCTAACCCTAAGAAACTGTGAACATTGAATACTGTTTCTCACTTTTAACACAGGCCTATCCCACTTGCAGGATACATGCCAACTCCAAAGAAGAGTCAGTCATGTGGATTTCAGAAGATGAAAGCTTAAGATGAAGACTGAGAGTGTTTGAGGCTGGAGGTGGGAGTGGTATTATATAGGACTTAGCCAAAACATGTGATAGTCACTGTAGGGGTAGCTGGAAGAGAAGTGTGTGGCTCAATTACGCAGCTCAAACAGACCTTGTGAGGACTAGAGGAAGAATGCTCCCTGCTGTGTTGTACTGCCTGCTGTGGAGTTTCCAGACCTCCCATGGCCATTTCCCTCGAGGCTGTGTGTCCTCCAAGAACCTGATGGAGAAGGAATGCTGCCCACCATGGAGGGGCGACGGGAGTCCCTGTGGCCAGCTCTCAGGCAGGGGTTCCTGTCAGGACATTGCTCTGTCCAATGCACCACTTGGGCCCCAATTCCCCTTCACAGGGGTGGATGACCGGGAGTCTTGGCCCTCTGTCTTTTATAACAGGACCTGCCAGTGCTCTGGTAACTTCATGGGATTCAACTGTGGAAACTGCAAGTTTGGCTTTTGGGGACCAAATTGCACAGAGAGGCGACTTTTGGTGAGAAGAAACATCTTCGATTTGAGTGTTCCAGAGAAGAATAAATTTCTTGCCTACCTCAATTTAGCAAAGCGTACTACCAGCCCAGACTACGTCATCCCCACAGGCACCTATGGCCAAATGAATAATGGGTCAACACCCATGTTTAGTGACATCAGCATTTACGACCACTTTGTCTGGGTGCACTATTATGTGTCGAGGGACACACTGCTTGGGGGGTCTGAAATCTGGAGAGACATTGACTTTGCTCATGAAGCCCCAGGTTTCCTGCCCTGGCACAGACTCTTCTTGTTGCTGTGGGAACGAGACATCCAGGAGCTGACAGGAGATGAGAACTTCACCATCCCATACTGGGACTGGAGAGATGCTGAAAACTGCGACATCTGCACAGATGACTACATGGGCGGGCACAACCCAGCAAACCCTAACCTTCTCAGCCCAGCGTCCTTCTTCTCCTCTTGGCAGGTAAGGTGAGCTGCACATACAATGTCAGAGCATAAAGGGACCTCAGTAAGCATGTCTTCAGGCAGGTCTGCACAAACCCCCCTCCTCTCTTCTGCCAAGAATAGAAAAGGTATCTTATTAAGAGCTCTCGGCATTCCTTGTATTTTTCCTTTAGAGCACTCTTCACAATTGTTTCATAGATATTTGTGCACTTATTCGTCTGATATCTTCTACTAGTTCCTAAGGTCTAATAAATAGAGTACCCTATCCGCCAGCACCTAGGATGGTGCCTGGCAAATGGTAAGGGCTTATTAAGTATTTGAAAGAATGGATAGATGAATATTTAGATAATTAAATAAATGATCTGCATCGGTGTTCCTGAAATTTTCTTCACAATGAAATCCATACAGAGCACATATTAAAAGTACAAATCCTGGCCTTATCCCAGACCCATTGATTAGAATCTTTAGTGGAGAGTCCTGAGGAAGCATTATTTACTAAATGCCTCTGATGATTATCATCATCAGGAAAATTGAGGGAATATTCTTTAGATTAAATCTTCTTTTTAAAAAATATATGAGAACCCTGAGGCTCAAACAGATAAATAATGAAAATAGCTAATATTTATTGAGCCTTGAGCATGTGTGAGAACCTGTTCCAAGTGTTTTTGCACATTAACTAATTTAATAGTTTCACTGAATTTCCCCAGTCTTAAATATCAAAAAACTGAAGTATAAAGATATTAGGTAACTTGTACAAAATCACAGAGCTAGTTAGTAGCAGAGACAAGATTTATTCTCCAATAGCTTGGCTTCATGACCACCCTATACTATTTCTAAGGACATGACTGCTACAGTGTCTTTAGCCAAAGGATCTGGCCCATTATGTTTTACTTTTTTCAATAGGCCGCAGAAGAAATTAGCTCCGCCCCCCCAAAGCGTGCATATTTTAGAAGTACAAGATAAAGGATTGCTATTTTGAAATTTAATTTCTATTTCTCCTATTTTGAATTTTTTACTCTGAATTAGGGGCAAAAGGTAACCAAAGAAATATGCTTCTAATTATTTATCATTTGAAACCCTAAGGTAGAAGGAATATTTCTGTTTGTATTCCAAACATTTCTATTATAGCTGTTTTGTCTAACAGTGCTTTATGGAACTGAGCCCAATATTTAAATAAGATGGGAAGAATCTTATATTTGTACTTTGTACTATGCATTTTTGAAATGTGGATGGCTTCCCATCTGCCCCCCCCACGCCCCCAGCACAAACTAAGTTCACACACTTTCCAAATGGAGCCTATTGAAGCTCATTGAAAAAATGGTCACTGTATAATATCTGGTGTCACTAATGTCAGCTATTTTCCAAGATTAATGAATGCATTTGTGCAGGAAAGGCTGGGAAAAAAAGGTGTTTGGGGAAAAAATCTATTCCAATAAGCCTTCAGACCTCCTGCCTTAATCTATAAAGTACAAAACTCTCATCTAGCTCTCACCATCTCTGTTACTGCATAAAATACTGCTAAGCTTGCATGCGGGATTTTCAGGCATTTATAATGTTCTCTGTAACTACACAGCTTCACTTGACCCAGAAGGTCTGGAGGATTAACTAAATTAGCAAAAGTTATAACATCCACACTGAAGCTTAATAGACAGATACTAATTAATATTTAATTATATGACATATGCTACCTGGTGATACCCAGAATTATATTTGTAATTATTTTCAAATCATTTATTAATTATTGAATGGAAATTTCTTCCTTTTTTTGCCCTTCATTATTGTGGCCAGTTTTATTTCTATATAAAAATTATTGGGTTTAATAGGTAAGTAGTGGACTAAATTATTATAACATTAGGTTCAAGACAGTTCTATATTTAAACTGCTGTGTAGTAACTGCTGTTAAAAATGAAATTAGAAAGTAGGATGGATAAAGACCACTGAAGAAAACCAAGCAAATGATGGTTTAAATAAGGAAGGTGAAGTGAATGGACATTTGTATTCATCTACTGTGAGTGGTGTCACTGTGTGAAGTGACAGCAGAAACCAACTCTAGTTGGATCTTTCCATTCCTTCACACAATCCTTTAAAAATTAAGTTCATTTGTTTATATTGATTTAATTCAGTAGTTCTCAGCATCTAAATCATTTAGGGAGCTTAAAATAAAAAATAAAATAAAATAAATAAAATAAAGTAAAAATAAAATAAAATATAAAACATAAAATAAAATAAATAAATAAATAAAATAAAATAATAAAATAAAATAATAATAAAATAAAATAAAATAAAATAAAATAAAGTAAAACTGCATGGGCTCCACCCATCTAACTTCTACCAGAAAATCATATTCAGTTGGTCCACTGTGAAGTCTAGGTGTCTGCATTTCAAAACCTTCTCATGTGATTGGAATGTGCAGCAAGCACTGAGAATCGCTGATTTAATTAACATGAGGTTGTTTTGGTATCTCTTCCATTTTACAAACTCAGGTTCTGTAATGAACATGCCGCTGGGTTAAATGCTTTTGCCAGAATTGAACACTCAAATCAAGAGCTGGCCTAGTTTGAGTGAGATGAAATCACAAAGCCTTCATACTAATTAACCTTCAAATCAGCTAGACTGATAGCCCCCTTAATACAGAGTCTCCATTTTTTCCCCTTGATTTCAGTTATTTTTTACTTGACCCTTCAATAGTATCTAGTATAGTGCCCACATTTTATAAAGGAAAATAAGCCCAAAAGGCAGGGTGATTTGTCCAAGGTCACAGAGGTGAGAGCTAAAGCCCAGTGCCTCTGACTCCAATGCTATTTTAAGTCAACCATGTTCCTAGTTAGACTCAGAAAGGATTGAATAAGCCACTAATTGATGGATGTAAAATTTGAGTTGCAGTCACTTTGACTCCCTTAAAAATCAATTGCACAGACAACTGGGACAGATACACTGATGTAGTCCTTTTCATTCATATTGCAATAAAAATATTCCACATCATTACTGAAGTAAAATTAACCCTAACCCTTTTGTTCTAGTATTATTACACTTTGTACAGATCTATACTGTAGCACCTATAACTCTTCAGTGCATGTAATTGCTTTTAAACCTATATTTGTCTACCAGATTGTCAGCTGCTCCAAGTTAGAGACCCTTTCTCATATACTTTTACATCCACACAGCCCAGGACCATGCTATATCATGAAATGGGCTTTATAAGCGTATGCTGAATGGGACAAAATTAAAACTCATAGAAATGTTAACTCCAATGCTAACAAACATTAAAAATGAAACCCTGCATGGCTGGATTTCTAGAACCTTACACAGTACTTCTTTTTTGTTTTTAATCCCCACCCAAGGATATTTTTTCCCATTGTTTTTCAGAGAGAGTGGAAGGGAGAGAGAGAGGGGTGGAGGAGAGAGAGAGGGAAGCATCAATGTGTCACAAATCAATTGGTTGCCTCCTTCAGGTGCCCCAGTGATGGAGCCTGCAACAGAGGTATGCGCCCTTGACCGGAATAGAACATGCACCCTAACCACTGAGCAAAACCGGCTAAGACACACCGTACTTCTTTATAGCAGATATCCAAGGCTAAGGAGGATACAACAACGCCATTATAAGCAACAACTTACTCAAAATCTGGAAGAAGGCATTTAGTATAGTTCTCTCTGGGCTTCTATAGGTGTATGTGTTTGTGCATGAAATAAAAAGAGAGACCACACAATAAAGATCAAGCAAGTTGCAACATACCTGAGTTTATTTAGAGTGATTAATACTATTTCATGGTAGGTTTTTCTATTAAATGAAGTAATATATTAAAAAATCAGGTACTTAATATTAGTTTCCTTAGAAAGCTTATATTCAGAATTCACATCTTTTGTTGTTGTTGTTGTTCGTTTATTTGTTTGTTTAGTGAAAAAACCTTTTCAAGTAAAAGCATGTTTGTCATCAACTAAAATAGCCCATTATTTTTGGAGATGGGGTGGATCTTAGTAATATTAAAGTACAAATACCTATGCTCAACACAATTAAAGCCAATGTTATGCAAGCAGCAGAAAAGCTAGCCATAAAAAGAAAAGGTAGATCAGAGGTAGCTGTCACGATGGATCAAAATAAAAAGAAAAAAACATTTCCTTCATGATAGACATGAGTGAAATGTAGCCAGGGAGCTCACTCATCAGGTGCAAAGACCATCATATGGAAGCAAACAGTGGGGGGAAAAAAAAAAGGTCACATTTTAGCAGACAGTCATGGGTTTTAGGTAACCATGGCAACAGCTCAATGAAATAACAGTTTCTCTTTTTTTCTTCATGAAAAAGATTTTGTGGAATGTCATATGTTTTACTTTTTCTTTTTCTGGATAAAACCTCTATTTCTTTAAATTTAAAAGAGCATTGTCTAGGTTCACCTTCTCCATTAATAAGTCTGCTTCTTCTATTTTCCTTTTTCATTTGACTTGGCACACTTGTTTTTCTCCCATTATATATTATAAATCACCTATGTTAAAATAGAAAAAGCACAAATCTTTGTCCAAAGTCTGCTGCCATAACCAGATGATAGTGGACAAGTTATTTAAAATCTTTGACCTTTGATTTTTTTCAACAACAAAAAAACTGGGGTACAATTATCATTTATGCTTGTTTTCTGTGTTAATGGAAATACTGAATGGAATAGAAAATAGAATAATATAGTGGAAAGGGTATATAAATATTTTGGTCATATAAACATGAGTTTCAGTAGAGTGTTGTAACTTACTTAGCTATAAGACCCCAGACAGGTTATTTATTCTGAGACCTTTATCTCTAAAATTAAAATAGCCCGGCTGGGCGTGGCTCAGTGGTTGGGCATTGACCTAGGATCCAGGCGATCGGGGTTTGATTCCCGGTCAGGGCACATGCCCGGGTTGCGGGCTCGATCCCCAGTCAGGGGCGTGCAGGAGGTAGCTAATCAATGACTCTCTCATCATTGATGTTTCTATCTCTCTCTCCCTCTCCCTTCCTCTCTCTGAAATCAATAAAGATATATTTAAAATAATAATAATAACAACATATTGTAAAGAATTATTGTAAAGTGTTTTGATGAAATCTGACATGGTCTTTGAGTTCCATGTGTCGAAATTACTACTACAACATATATGATATATCAATGTTAGTTATTATAATAATGAATATTCAATCAGTATTATAGAACCAGAGTTAAAAATAACTTGGTGGCCTCCCCAATGGTCTTGTATTCGATAATAATTATAAGAGCTGTTATTATTAAACACTATATACCTGGCACTATATACTAAGTGCTTTACATGTTAGATTATTTAATCCTTCATAGAAAGTTGTTACAGTGCCCATTTACAAATGAAAAACCTCGATACTCAAAGAGCTTAAGTAGTTTGCCCAAGGTCATGTAGTTAATAAAGAGTCAATACTGGGAACCATGTCTTTCTGACTGTGATCTGCATGATCATAACATTAGTGTTAACAATTTATTCTACCCTGCCCTCCCTCTGTGTTGAATATAAAGACATGATTTGGGATTAAGTTTTTCAAATTATTTCTGGAACCGAGGTAGATTTCCTTTGTTACTAATACACCCAGTCATCTGAACACTTAGGCACTTGGCAGTTGGCATTTCAGCAAAAATAGTTCCATTCAAACCTCTCTAATTTAACCAAGTCTGCTGTAGGAGTCTTTTAGGCAGTAGGATCTTTTGAAAATATCAAGATGTTTTATATTCAAACTGGAATGAAAATGATCTCCTCTCTGTACCTGCCATGATGTCTAGTTAATCGACACTATAAAGGAATCTGATATATTACATTCAATACAAAAGTTACATTCACTTTATTCTAACATCCCTAAGTCGTCTGAGGCACTTATAAGTGTAGTGGATATAAGCTTTGGAATTAGAGGAATATGTATTCATTTTCTAGCTCTGGCTCTAAACATCCTATGACCTTAGAAAAGTTACCAAACTGCTTTAGCTCTTAATCATGCATGGAATAAAGGATTGAGGAATGTGTTTAAGTATGAAGAACACTAGAAACTGATATTTGGTAAGCCAGAATTGTGTTATTTCATATTATTTATTATATTATCAGTAAAATATATTAATCACATATTTGTTACTATTCATGTTAGATTTCTTTATTATTTTACATTACAGTTGAGAAAACTGAGATTTAGCAAGTCTAAATAACATATACTGCTAGTTAGTAGTTGAGCCAGAACTGAAGCTCATGTCCATCTCAATTTTAGAGTCCAATTCTTTTCCACCACACAATGCTTCAACTCATAAATGATTTCTTACTGACCAAAAATTAAAAGCTTCTCTAAGTTTTCTCATTTAACACAGTAGCAGCCATTCCTGGGGAACATGACTGAGTTCTAGTTGATTTAATTTGCTTTTACATTCCTATAGACTACAAATTCACTAGAGCAAGAGGCTGATAGAATTGTTTTGATTATTTTTAACTGTGGTGCAAACAGCTCACCAGGAAGTCTTTCACTTGTAAAATATTATTCTTGTACCTTTTCTGTTGTTTATAAAATGTTGTGTGTGTGTACAAAAAAAATCAGCAATATTAATGTGTGCTGTAAGATATCAGGATGCTGGTTAGAGGGGGTCGGGAGTGAAACAACCCAAGAGAGACATGAGGGAGACTTCTGGGGTCTCAGTATTTTTCTGTTTCTTGATCTGGGTCCTGGTTATATGGATGAATTCAAGTTTGTAAAAATTCATCTAATTGTACATTTTGAGTATATACATTATACTTCCACAAAAATTTTTAACGAGAAGTTCATTCATTTGTTCTGTTATGAAATTACTAACTATAACAGAGGGCTTTAGATTCTGCAGCCTGTTGTACTCTTCCACACTAAGCAATCAGTTTTCTCATCTTTAAAATCGGGATAAAAATCATATAAACCAACAAGGTGTGAATTTTAAAAAATGTTCACAGTGATGTCTTCCTCATGGTCTGTGACATAGTAGGGCCTCAATATATATTTGCTAAAAGTGATATATTTCTGTAAATACATTCTAAGGAAAAGGATGGTACCAATAACAGGGCTAGGGAAAAAGCGTGTTCAACACGTTTGTAGTGGAAGATACAGCGGTTTACCCTGACTTGTTTACTCATTCATGAAATATTTACTGAGAATTAACAATAATAATCATTTAAAAAGAAAGCTGGCCTGGCCAGGCGTGGCTCAGCGGTTGAGCGTCGGCCTAGGATCCAGGAGATCAAGATTCGATTCCCGGTCAGGGCACATGCCCGGGTTGCGGGCTCGATCCCCAGTCGGGGGCATGCAGGAGGCAGCCAATCAATGATTCTCTCATCGTTGATGTTTCTATCTACCTCTTTCCCTCTCCTTTCCTCTCTCTGAAATCAATAAAGATATATTTTAAAAATAAAAAAGTTGTCGTCATGGAGATTAATTTCCTAAAGGGAGTTGATACTGATTTTTTATCAGGGGAGACTACAGTGAGTAAAGTTTAAGTTTGACAGAAAAGAATATTACCTACTTGGTGGGCAGAGGTCTCCTACGGAAGTGTGTGCCTGCTGTGAAGAGTCACAATGATAGCAGGGAGGGTGCTGCCGCACTTGTGTTTTGATTTAGGATTGACATCTATCTACCTATTTGCTTTCATTGAATCCCTTTCATCAGTGAATTTAAGATGAAGAATTAATTTACATACCACTAAAAAAATTAATCTGCTGATTAAATTATAATGTGATATTATTAACCTTAGAATTTTTATTTTATGCTTATTAAAAGAGCTACTTTGGCCTTATTTAGTCAAGTATTTTTATCATAGTTTACTATTCCACCATATATAAATGAAACTATAAACAAAAAAATTCCATAAAGGATTCCTGCAACGTCTTCATATTTAGAGTCACACCCTTTAGAATCACTTTTTTAAGTCATAGTCTACAGTGTTTGTTTTTTCCAAAATATTGCCTTGGCCTTTGAAGATTAGGTAGGAATGTCAAATACATGACAAAAAACGGACGTCCTTAGACATGAACGAAGAGCATGTGATGGAGAGGCACATGTGATGCCCAAAGAGGAGCCTGTCAGAATTTAGCAGTAGGACCACATAATTTTAAGCAAATGGAGTACGGCTGTTGATTCAAGATATTCTCTGGAGGTAGAATTGACAATATTGGTTGATGGTATCAACACGAAAGACAAAAGCGAATAAAATCCAAACAGTAAATCACCAGTTTCTGGCTTAAACGTGGTAATTCATGGGCTTCTGGTTTGAGCTGCAGGATGGCTGGTGAGATGGGGAATGTAGGGAGAGTAATAGATTTGGGGTTTTTTATGTTACATTTGAGATGCATGTGAGCTAACACTGAAAAATGAAGTCGGACATGAATATACAGGCATAGCGTTCAGAGGAGTGGCTCTAGACTAGAGAGAGGAATGAGGGAGTTCTTATCATGTAGATGGCACAGAAGCCATGAAACTGGCTGTTATAGCCAGGGAAGATGCAGAAGGAGGTAAGAGAAGAGGGCACACCCCTGAACTCCAGGCCAGGCCTGGTTTTGTTGGCATAAAACCAGTGAAGTCACACAGCAGATAATGAACAAATGTTTGTCAATTCCTCATCAAATGAGTATTGGACAATTATATGAAGTAGTTATTATTATCCCATTTGATTGATAAGGCTGAGGGAATTTAACATGTTTTCTTAAGTAGACGCAAGAGTACAATTCTTTTCTAGATTTTAACTTTCGTGGTTTATTCTGCAACCCTCAGAAAGCTGCTTTCTTCAACAACTTACTTTCAATTATTAATCTCCTGATGATGAGAAATCAAAATATGGTAACCAGAAATTTCAACCTCTCTACCTTCCCCTTTGACTTTGAATTTGACTTAGAGGTGGCCACAACTCCTTTAACATCAAGGTGTTTTGCACAGATCATCTGTAGCAGATCAGAGGAGTACAACAGCCATCAGGCTTTATGCGATGGGCGTCCTGAGGGACCATTACTGCGCAACCCTGGAAACCATGACAAAGCCAGGACCCAGAGGCTCCCCTCCTCAGCTGATGTGGAATTTTGCCTAAGTTTGACCCAGTATGAATCCGGTACCATGGATAAAACTGCCAACTTCAGCTTTAGGAATACACTGGAAGGTAATCCTCTCCTTTTTCACTCACCTAAAGTTTCTTTTTTTTCTGAATTTATGTTTACAATCTCTTATACAACACCCTAAGCGCAGAAGAGTTTGAGAATTCAGAATTTTCCGAACTGAGTAAGGACATGAGGCATATATACATCGATGGCCAACCCTAGCAGAGTCTGGGCAGCACACCATAGTCCAACAGATTTATAACTCTTCAGAAAAATGTATGACTATACCCACTATGGCAATAAATGGAGACAATAAAAGGCAGCTTAATGGGAAATAAAATCAGGTCTTTCCACTAAGAGAATATTGATGCTAAACAAAATAATACATTTTCAGAACTTTTGGGCTTTTGGAATTATAAATACAGGACTATAGATCTATTATACTTTTCTAAGTTTTAGTATTTTAGCTAGTTTAAAATATTCTGGATACTAGGCTCTTTGAGGCAAGTCCATTCCTTTAGCTGTAATAAGAATAAAACCCACATACAGGGGTTAGTCGGTATTCCATTATACCTGAACAGTCTTTGCTTCATCACAGATTTCCTTTCATCGTGCCTACTTACTTCTCCTGCAGAGCTCTCCATCTTCCTTGCATCTTGCCTCCAGCACGTGTTCATTCTCTGCTCAAGTCTGTCCCTGCCACGAGATCCATCCCCTTCACCTCAATTTACATTATGGAAACAAACCTACAAACAAAACAAACCAAGAAAAAAAACAAGTTAGCTCAAGGCACAGATTTAACTGGAGGTTTGCAAAGACATCAGGTACTGACCTGTGGCAAGACAAACAACTCAGAATTTGAGCTAGACGGCCCACCTCCTGGAACTCTGGCACCCTACCATGGAGACAAAACTTTGCTCTCTTTCCTTATTTTTTTGCCCTAATTTTTTGCTTTGTTTTGTTTTCTTGTCCCTGTGGTTGTTGTTTTATCCTTTAACTTCTGTTGCTGAACAATGCAGAGTAGTTTCCCTGTCTCTTTCATTTCCGTGCATCCTTCCAATCTATAACTCTGGGCCTTATGCTCCCTCAGAAGCAATTTAAACAGGGAGAATATCACCCGGAAGAGGAATCCTGGTGCCAGCTGTTAAAATAAAAAGTATGATTATGTTCCTAAAGTAATATGAATGACTAACGCTTTCCAAGTAATTACTATGCGCAAGGCACTGTGCCAAACATTTGTATAGTACTGTCTCACTTAATCCTTACAACCCCCCTTTGAGGAAGATGGTGTCATTATTTCCAGTTTAAACGGATAAGCAATATTAAGTGATTTGGCTACCATCACTCATTTGGTAAGTGGCAGAGCTCAATCTCTTCCTAGACTTTTCAAGCGCCCAAATCCAAGAGTCCTTTCAATTATACTCTGACGACCCAGAGTGTGCCAAGTTTCTTGAAGGTGGATGAGATAGTGCTGGTCCTTCAGTAAGATCATATTGGAAGGCAATGCATGGTGCCCAGATGCCAGTCACAAGGTGAGACAAAGGCACACATGCACATTAACAGTCACCATCTGGGAGGACTGGGTATCCTCATGGACCGTGCAGGGTTTAACAGGACCACAAATGCTGATTTAATGACATTGCATAAAGGGGCTCCACACTTAAAGGAATGGGAGTAATTTACAGGTTTTTCAGGTAGATTTTCTATCAGTGAAAAAGCATGAATGTTGTTATTAAGGAACATAGGCTGGTCACAGAAATAAGGTAGGGGAGCCTCACTTCTCTGGGCCTCAAATCAAAAAAAGAAAAGTGGCTTGAGCCATGTCAACTTTACCAAGGGCTTTCATATGAGTTTCTAATGCACAGAGATGAGTAGAGAACATCGTTTGTTGCAAATAATTTGTTATCACTAATAAATTATTTGTGCATTCTTTTCTTCTTTTCTAATAATTTATTCTCATTCACACATATCAAGTATGCTTTCCTGAGGAGAAGAGAAAAGGCATAGTATAGCACATTATCTGGCATATGGTATGTGTTCAATAAGTACTGGTAACTGAATACATAAGTAATATCTAAGGTACTTCAAATTTAATCCAATTCACTGTTTAGCTTACATATATTTGTTGTATGAAGTCAATGTACTTGTAGGAAAATGTTAGAAAACATTGATTTGATCCAACAAGAGCTTTTCCTGACCAGGGACACATTCTTTACTCTTTTCTTTAAACATTGATTCAGAAATAATTTTAAGCTTACAGAAAAATTGCACCAATAAAAACAGTACAAAAACACTCACACAGAGTCAAAAAACATTACAGATTCACTTACTGTTTACATTTTATCTTGTTTGCTTTCTTCCTGTCTTCCAATCTGAACTATTTGAGAAAAGTTACATAGATGAGAATAGAATCCTTTACCCCTGGACATTTCAGTGTGTTTTCCCTTAGAACAGGAATATTCTCTTATGTAACCACAGAATAGTTATCAACTTCAGTAAATTCTAATCCAATATTTATATTCTAATTTTTTCAACAGACCAAATAATATCCATATAGCACTCTTCCTCTCTATAACAGGATCCTGTCTAGGGTCAGGTAGTATTTAGTTGTCATGCTCATTAGGCTTCTTTAATCTGAAATATTCCCACAGCCTTTTTTTTTTTTTTTTAACAAGATTGACATTTTGGGAAGAACAGTTCCTTCCCCCATTTAAAAATATAATCTTCCTCGGTTTGAGTTTGTCTATTTCCTCATGGATTCAGATAATGTGTTCTTAGCCAGAATTCTACTCAAGTGATCTTGTGTCTTTCTCAGAGGGCGTCACATCTGGAAGCACATGATGACCAACTATCTCACATTGGTGATTCTAATCTGATCATTTGCTCCAGTGTGGTCCAATTTCCCCTTTCCAATTAATAAATTGACTACATAGAGACAATTTTTAAGACTATGTAAACGTCCTGCTTCTCATCACAATTTTCTCCTGCAGTTACCATCCATCATCAATGGTTACAAAATGATGACAGTCGAATTTTAGCACTCCTTTTACTTAATTAGCCAACACTTTAGGATTCTACTGCTAGCAAGAGCCCACCCTTCCTTCCTCCCTGCCTTCGTTCCTTCCTATCTTATGGAGTAAAGACTTTCAATTTTTTCAATGGTATATAATTCCTGAAGGTGAATAATTATCTTGGTGCTCAAATGGTCCCAGATTTCACCTGTGAGCGCACCGTCAAGCTAGTTCTTACGTTTCTGTTTTATATTCCCATCATTTTGTTTAGTACTTTCTTCTTGGTATAACAAAATATTTTAGAGTCATCTTGTGCCTACACTGACCCAGGCCTGAAATCAGCCATATCTCCAAGAAATATTTATTCCTTTCAGTGGGGAAGGATATTAGAGACAAAGATCTGGGAGTAAGTTCTGCTTGTCAGAGACACACATTTGATCTTGAAACCCAGATAGAGTGGGGGTGTGGGATGACTTGGACTACAAGGAGTGCTCAAGAGAACATAGCTGTGAGGAGAGCAGGACTGGAGAAGCAGGAGCACAGGCAAACACTGCACTCTGCTGTCTCAACAAAGGCAAGTGGAACTGAATGATTGGTTTTGGTTGAACCTCACCATTACTGCTGCCCTTTTTAATTCTGGGCCATGTGAGCCATGCATAATGTACATCCCATAGAAAAAATTCTCACAGCTAGTCCTGGGGTGGAGGAGCTATTGTGTTTTCATCTACTGAAGTTATTTATGTATCCTCAGTTTTCCTCTTAGATTTATTGCTGAAATAAATACTGAAGATGTACAATTTACAAATTGTGTAAAAGAGACATGTTTTTAGATAAAGCAAACAAAAATAAGCATGTATTATAAAAGGTAGTCTTCTGATTAAGCTAAATAGTTGGGCCCCATGGAGTATGGGTTATTAGAGTCAAAGAATCTTCTCGTGTACAAATCTCTGACTACCTATGGTGTCTTGTACTTCAGTTGTAACAGCACTAATTCAAAATTAGCACTACTGTGTGTTAGGGAGTGGAGTGGACTGGAAGTATAGTGAAGTGATTAAAGGCAATCTAACCAACTGAAATTTGATTCAAATGCCACCATTTCTTGGATGTGTTACAAGTTATTTACTTCTGAGTTAGTTTCATCATCTCTAAAATGTGGAAAAGAAAAATAACATAACATTTCTTCAATAAATAGCTGCTTATTATTATGTTAAGCTGGAATTAGTTATTGACAGCCAGTTATCAGTCATTAATTTTCATTAGAAACCAGGTATAGGCTTGGTCCTAAGAAGACAGATCACGATGGGCTAGTTGTAGTGGAAAACCAGGGAAGGGGAAGGATGAAAAAGAAAAATTCTTGAGATACACCCAGAGGTAGATGACATTTTTTGGAGATAAACAGCTTTTGGAAGGAATTCCCCCAAACAAGGAGACAACAAGAGCAAAAGAAAGAAAATGCAGGAACAAGGAACAACTCTAATTTAATGGCATGTTTCTAACCCAAAGAGCAGTGCAACTTAGGATCATAGAAACTTGTAATTGGAAGACACTTATCAATGTATTCAGTCCAACATCCCATACTATGCTGAGATGCCCAATATAGTGCATCCCTATGTGGCCATTCAAGGACTGGGATCATGAGAGAGAAGAGGAAGTTCCTTAGGTAGAGAAAAATCTAATTTAAAGAGCCCTTCATAATTCTGATGGTGCAGGAAATTATGAAAGTACAAATACATACAAAGATGACTATTACACAATTTCTGACCTCAAGGAGCTCACCATCTAATGAGGAAACACCACATGAACATGGGGAAAATACAATATAATGGTCAGTAAAAATTGAGTTAAGAACCATATTTCCCAAGGTGAAAATCGAACTGAATCTTGAAACATCAACAATTTCTCACCAATGAGAGAAGAGAGGGAAAGGCATTTCCAGCAGAGGGAGCAACATACGTAGTGGAATAGAACTGTGCAAGTATGAAGCTAGTTACCAAAAAATGAAAAGTTGTATATGGCTAGAATATTAAGTTTGTTGTGGGAAATAACAAGAG